ACTAGAGGTCGCTATCTCTTCTCTGTCCAAAATGGTAGCCCGTCAAATGTTGTGGAAAATCAATGGTAAAATTGGTTCGTAATTGTAATATTGGCTACCATTTTGGATAGAGAAGAGTTAGCGAACTCTGGTTTACACCATTCTTTAAGTTTTTGTAAACACTCCAAAATGAGGTGTCACTAAATGGGGGTTTACGTTTAAAATTTTTGAGTGTCCCCCCAAAAGGGGGGATTGGGGGGCAACTAAACACTTTTCAATGTAAAACCCCATCAGGTGACACCTCATTTTGAAGTGTTTACAAAAACTTAAAGAATGGTGAAAACCAGAGTTCGCTATCTCTTTTCTATCCAAAATGGTAGCCAATATTACCATTACGAACAAATACATTCATTGATTTTCCACAACATTTGACGGGCTACCATTTTGGTCAGAGAAGAGATAGCGACCTCTAGTTTTCACCATTCTTTAAGTTTTTTAAACACTTTAAAATGAGGTGTCACTTGAAGGGGGTTTACATTAAAAATATTCGAGTTACCCCCCAAATCCCCCCTTTTGGGGGGACACTCAAAAATTTCAAAATCATAAATTGAAACTTCTTGCTAAGATTGCACGACCCCCAAAAGGATATCTCTGTATATTTACTTGGAAAAATATTAGATGGGGGGGGGGGTCTTGACTTTTTATTCACCCTGTATATTGTGTAAAGGTTTTATGAAGGTACTCCTAATACTGAGGGAACTCTCATGAGAGACCCATGTATTTTTTTTACAAAAAAAATATAACAAAGTTGGTGAGTTCTGAACCACGGTGTAAGCGTTATCACAAAACTTTAAATCAATTCGTGACTGGTATGATTTGAACTCGAACCTCGAGGCAACAATCCCCATTAAACAATTTTCCAGCTGTCCATGTCACTAAGATAAAATTATGAAGCAGAAAAAACAATCAACACAAAAAAACACAATATTAAGTCTAACCATGGCAATTCCCTAAACAAACGCATAACTTAACAATGTTAACAATAGCAGTACACTGAAGTCTTTTTCGCTGTTATGGAAACCCCAAACAACACTAATTGGGTATTCCATAAACTAGTTATGGAAATATCATTGAACCGACGTTATTTCTGTTTAGGAAACACTCAACGTCAACATCAACACGCACACCATGCTGCGGGCCCAAAACTACCGCAACATAGTGTAGGCCTGTAAATAGAGGAATTAATTGGTGTAATTTGTAACAATCTTGTACCTGTGTCAAGACAGAAATACATAATTAGTCGAAACATAAAAAAACTGTTTTAGCAATCTGACACGTACTTTTTTCCATTATCTTGCAAACACCCATAAGTGAATGAAATTATGGTATATGTGGGTAAAATCACAAAAAATGCAATAACTCTCGATACGCAATTTTTACAGCAATAGGTGTCGTACCATTCTGTTTATAATTATAAAAACTACAAAATACACAACAAATATAAGAACTGTCGAGCATTAAAAAAAATTCAATTTCTTGTTAATTTATGAGACCTTTTGATTGTTAGGTAAGCACTATAACGACTACAACCACCCAGGTTGTAGAATAATGTATTCTATAATCCTATTCTATTTATATTCTACTTAAAAGTGCCCAAGCCAGAGTTTCATTTTAGACCAAATTATTGTATAAAGCAGTGAAAATACTATTTGAACACCCTTTCAGTCATGTGCTGCTATTACCACTTACTATACAATAATCATTTTGATTAATGAGAATTTTTCGCTATATCGACTCCTATATAATATGAATTTGTCTATAGAGTTTTGATAAGTACTGGCCTAAATACGGAATATTATTTATGTTTGTTAAAGAAGATGCCATAATCTATTCATATGCAAAAACAAACTATAAAATGAAATATAACATTTTAAACTATATCTCAAACTTTTGTTGAAAATCCTCAAAATTTCAACAAATCCAAACCTACATTATATGGAAACATATTTACATATATCCAAACTATTTAAATCCAAAAATAATTAATATGACTTTAAAGTATTCTAAAAAAAATTATATACATATAGGGCGTTTTTCTCTATTCGAATGTGAGGGAATAGCAAGATCCATTGTGATTGAGAATTGTTGCCAATTATGACGAAATCGACATTGTTAACATAGCAATTAGTGTAGACCCAATACATCAAGAGGTCTTGGCACATACGCAGCTGGTGTTAGGACTCTACACTAATGTGGACTTAATACTACTAATGCATAAACAAACTATGTGGCATCTTCTATTTTTGTATAATAAGAAAATGCCTGTACTAAATAAAAGTATCGTTTTGTCTAAAGATTTCGTACGGTGAAACATTTTAAATTATGTTTACGTTTCAAAGCACAAAAAACCGAGTATTACCAATTTATGTCCATCCGTTTGTGTTTTTATATGCCTATCTATGACACCTAATGTGTCAATTCACGCTGACTCTAAGAAAACTAAATCAGTGCAAGTTGTGAACTAAACAATTTTTATTCGTCAAACCATGTTGTATCGGAAATATATTCTGACCTACTCATAGACTTGATGAACATTTATTTGAACCCATATTAGTGATTTTCTTTGCAAACCATTGTTTATATTTTAAGTTGTTAAATTATCGTTTAGACGTTGACTAATTTTAGTTTCACTAAAAGATATATTCATAAATAAATACGCTGTAAGTTATTATTGTTAATATTTATCAACTATTTGATTGACTTAAGTCACTGTCTCTCTACAACTCGATTTTTTATTCGGGTTTATTTTCAGTTGAATACATTCGAAGGTCCGTGAGTTTGTGATGTAACAGTCACAGGCCAGGTTTGAGTAGTGTAAACTGTGTGTCTGATATTTTTAGGTCACGCATCTTCAAAGTGACCTAGATACCACTTTTGTCTTCTACACAAGTTTCTTACAAACGTCGCATTTTTCTACAACTAAAGTATGGAGTTGAACTAATTTTTCACTGTTTCACAATTAAGTTGATCGTTTTCACCAGACTCTACCTTACACACCTTGGCTTGACATCAGATTGTATATAAATCAATTAATTATTATTATTTATGATTTATTTAATCGCTTCACATTATTTCTTTAACTCAATCTGAGACGCTTGATAAAGTCTTGCGTTATCAAACGTGAGATCCGGTTTTAAGCCATTTGTAATCTGAACAACAACGCCTCAAAATATGGTATTCGGTTGAAACTACTAATAAGTTAAACTGTACTGTTGATTTGAAACGTTTGAAAGTTCAATTTGATAGCGGACGAAGCCTCTGTTATTTGTTAAACGTTGTGTTGTCCTTGCAAACTACAATTTTTAATTTGGTTCCGCTCACATTTATTTGACTGTTCTCGTTGAAGTTTTTTTCTATTTATAATTCTATCTAAATACGCCTACAATTTAAATTTTTATTTCATTATTACTGTATAGATTTTACATCTCTTGATTTGATGTTTAACTTATTTACAGCAATAATTAATTTTTAATTCAGCTGGTTTAAATTTGCATGAACGATTTATCGATCTACTGATCTTTTCATTTATGCAGAGATATTGCACAAATCACGGCTTTCACTTGCTCTGTATGGATGAAAGTGCTGCACTACCCCGGTCGATGATACAATGTCTCTATATGGCGGGAAGCCATTTAGGCGGCAAAATTGAGTTTGACGTGTGACAGATTGGAGGGAAATGCCTCTCTTCGTGCTTTGTTAACACAATAAGCGGTGGGAATATAAAACGTCAAAATTAAACAGTTTACGATTCAAAACGCAAATATGTTTGTTCTCCTAAATTGAGTTTACTCATTGTAGGATTACGTTGTTTTCCCCACAGGTGTAATATGTTGTACCATGGATAGAACTAGACACTCCATTCTCTGGACCACACTATCTTTTATATCATATCAACCATAGTAAAAATGATTTTGGAAGGAAATGTAATCAATTTGATACCGTAACAATTTCTGTAGCAGATAAACACTCATCTTTTTCCATCAAATGTTGGCCACAGTGGTCCATATAGATGGAAAGTCTACGTCAGTAGTAAGAGGTTAGTTTTAATAAATAGTTATAAGTACAATGAACAAAACAATCACAAAAGTAAATTAGACACTAATCTTACTTGTAACGGAAGAAATATTCAATAAACCTATTTCCAATCAATCCTGCTTGAATCAAATATTACAATTTTGCAATGAATGAAAAATTCTTCATCTCTGGAATATTAAGGTTTACATAAATTATTTGGACTAAAATCAACAAAAGGTTAAATATTTAGATGGATAAAGTCATGAAAACGGAATATCTATGAAATAAGTTGAACTTGTTTGACAGATCTTCACTATGTAGAAATTTCTGTTCGCTAAGAAGTCCTATCTTGTTGTTTGTTAGGATGGGTTTGGTTTCGTTAGGTCAGGTTATGTTAGGTTAGGTTTGGTTTGTTAGGTTCGATTTGTTAGGTTCGATTTGTTATGTTTGGTTTACAGTAGTTTGGCTTGGTTAGGCTAGAAAGGTTAGGTTAGGTTAGGTTAGCTTAGCTTAGCTTAGGTTACGTTTTGGTCAGGTTATGTTAGGTTAGGTATTGTGCACCTATCAGTTACCACCTATCACAACGTTAGGTGGGTTCCGCACCACTGAGACACGGTATTGACGTATACCATTAGAAATTGCCAGGATTTCACCCCAGGAATAGGGACTGAAGTCCCATGCTTCAACCCCTAGAAGGTGTTTTGTATTAACTTGTGTTTTATTAGACCCACCGCCAATATTCCGTAACTGTATTAGAGTGTCAACAACTGTAAACCGTGTTTTTACAAACACGAAATGCAGGCTATTTATGATATATGTTGCCACACTGGTAAAGTAACGCATTTGCAATGTGTTTGTAGGTAGTACGAGAGTGAGTCATTATTTGCGATTTGAATTTATAAAATTTAGTCAGAAGTGTTTATTATCATATTTCAAATTTTACTTACAAAGTCTCTGGCTTCCTATCTTGCATACCTAGAAAAATAGTACACGTTAGAAAACAAACAACGTGAGATTTTTACTATGAGAATAGGGTTTTAGATAGTAGTAATGGTAGTAGTATGAACATACTCATACTTAACAGTACGAGCTGTTGGCCCGTCCTACGTACGGGAATCCAGTAGTCAATTAAAACTGAATATGATTCAGAACAGCTAGTTTACAACTTGGTGGCCGATTCACACACACTGGCTTTGAGTACAGTAGCTATACATACCACCTTCCACTGCATACTTACCGTACCTTTTTTACCACCTTGGCCACTGAAACCTCTAAAATGATCCTGGCCTCCCGTTCTCTTCTATCCCCTGCCATTTCTAAGGAAGATACCAGTCTCAAGATGTCTTTCATTACTTGGTCTTCCAATTGGTCGTCTACCTTGTAATACTCCTTGGAATACACTTTTAAAAGTTGAAGTATCTTCTCTCCGCCATGCAAAGCCTGCCCAGCCCATTCGAGATCCGAGCCTTTTGGTCTACTTTTGGAATGTACCCCTTTATTAAGTTTCTGAATCATTGAGTACTACTGGGATAGTTATGATATGGTATGAATCGATTTTGGTTTCTACTGACACCCTGCAGCTTACTGGTCAGTTTTCTGAAGACCTGTACTACAGTACACCGGTTGACATTTTCATTGCGAATAAAATGTGTACTGTATACAGTCATACTTATATTCAAACATCTAGATAAAGATGTATCAACACGTAAACCACTTATATCTTAAAGGATTAAGCACTTATACTTAGACGGATTGCATTTATGACAAAACTTGGTTATACGTTTAAAATGCTTAGTTCAAAATTACACAATCTCCTGATAACATAGATCTTTTACGGTAGGAAAGAAACTACATTTTAAAGTAAAATAGTGTGTAGGCAAACTCTGACGATCAATATTTTTGTATACAAACAACTTGTAACGTAAACATTTCAATGACAGTTAGAAACCAGCTGTTAGTTAAACCACCACTAAAACGACTTAAACTCGTCCATCGGCTGCTAGACTTTTTAAAAATTAAAACTTAATTTCTAAAAAACTGGGACCCTAAACTAAAATTATGGCTTCGACATTCCCTAGTTCTCAAAATTATCTTTCTTTCAACACAAAAATCATGAAAATCCGTCGAGTGGTTGATTCAGAATCGTGAAATAAAAAAACACTGTTTCGTTTTAATATTATAGACTAGCTGTGTGCCCGTTCTACGCACGGGGATCTTATTGTAGTCAGTTATTGAAACCTTTTTATTAAGAACAGAATTTGGTTTGCATATTTTCAGATATGCTGGCAAAACTATTATACAGTATATAAACCTTCGCAAATACAGTATCTGACAGTTTCAAGCCAAAACAAATGCTTCGAAATTAAATGTAACCTGGGTCGTGTTGGTCCATATGTTAAATCCAATGATTAAACTAAAAAATGCTTTATAGATCTATGAGGCATAGCCCTAATGTAGGCCTATAATTGAAAGTTACCTTCCACAATGGTTAAAAGTATTTAAGGTACTACTTCAACCTCCCAATTTAACACTTTATTCGTGTTGACATTTTCATTATAAAGGTACTTTTGTCCTTTCCGTGAAACACTGAGAAATAAGGACGTTAATGCTTTACTAACAGACATACACACAAAAATACAGAACTTAATTAGGGGGTTTGCTACGCTTTAAGCATAACAAAGTACTTGTAAAATTAGTATCTAAAATATTTTGTTAATGTCATCAAATTTCATCATAACAATGTATATTTGCTTGGACCGATGATGACCCGAAATGACGGCTTACTATATGAAATGAAGACGACGGTGGTCCAGCCACCCTGGTATAGACGATTGGTAATTTATAGTAAATATTACCAAAATAGGCCACGAACTATTGATACATAAACAACGTAAAGCGTTTAAACAATTCATTATGGTTAGCTGAATAAATGTTTTACTAAAGTGCGTTATCGTTTTCTTAGCATAAACTAACATTTTGGAATCAAGAAAGAAAAAGCAAAAATTGTACAGTTAAGACATCAATTAAATTGAATACGCCTGTAATAATAAATAAGGTGCAACACCAACGATAACTAATTTGTAAAGTACAGTGATGTGTTGGTACTTAAAAATGATTCTTGCTACTACCAACAGTACCAACGGTTCTAAGGAATAGAACCGGTACCAAAAACCAACGTTGACAGTTGAGATCTATAGTACAGCCGACCAATTATATGAGTTAATCAAGTCCCGAGGTTATTGATCTCTTGGTTTTTGATTTTCTCGTAAAACGTTTTAAAACGGCAATCAAAGTTATTTCCCAATAACTGCTTTATTTGTAAACAACTTTTAATGTAAACTTATCGGTGTCAGTTTTTAAAAAAAACAACCTCATACAAACAACTTTTTGTTATTTAATAGATTAGGCCCTACGTACCTATTCTCTAAACAATGATTGGTAAAGGCTATCTAATAACATTAGAAGGAAATGTGACAAAAATCACACAACGTTGGGTTTTTGGACGTTTGTAATTTTATTTCTTTAGTAGGTAGGCCGTGTATTCTAGGGAAAAGTACCGGTATCAAGGATCGTCGTCGAACAGTTTGTTATGAATAATTGGGTAGGCGTACGTACCCAAGAGCATGGCTGTATGGTCCAGCGATTGCATCACACGGTGAGTAGGTACTATTGACTATATATATATATATAGTCAATGGTAGGAACAGAAAATAACACATTAGAAAAGCGAGTTTAGCATCATCCGTAAACCTCTGTTACAATCAACCACTGCAGTTGTGATTTTTTACTTACCACTTTACACAACCGCCATTGAAGCGCCGTGTCAATGAGTGGAAACCATATTTCTAAGCCATTGGCGACGATCATTATTAAATTTAAAGTTTCCCAGCCGTATACAACACTGATTCAAGGTCTTCTTTCTGGTTATCAAAACTCAAGAACAATTTATACACAAAGAATCTCTGGTTCCTGAACTGGATATTGCCTAGTTATTTAATTTCATTTACACGGTTACACTATTACACTACATTATTGCACTTTCGATTAATTAAATCCGTTATGTAAGAAAAACGTTTTTAATCACTTGGGATTTACATTCAAAACGTGATTGAAAAAGGTTGCGGTATTTGTAAACAACATTTGTAAACATATCAGTGACAGCTAGGAAAAATAATCTTGATCCGAACAGCTGTTCGTTATTTCATAGATGATTATGCAATAAAAATTGGACGAAAACTTGACATAAATCGCACAAAAGTACATTTTTGAACGTTCGTAATATTATTTACAAAGTAGTGAGGCCATATTTTAATGGCTAAAGACAATCTCGCCAATCCAGTGAATACATTAAAATGACTTGGATCTTGATAGGTACTCTCGTTTTCCAGGAGAAGATAGCGTAAAATGCCATCTTGAGTGTTACAGACAAAGGGAAAGACAGACAGACAGACAGAAATTGAGATAAGACTCGTTTCTGCTTATTTAATGTATAAGACGTAAAAATAACCTAAAAATATATAATTCTGAGCAATGTACAGACAAAACTCTAATTTTAGCGAATTTCCCTATAGGGAAGTAGCTATTACCGTAGGTCTCATGGTAAGACCTAGGCCCGGGACCGATTTACTTTTTCATTTTGATATCCCCAGAGGCCAAAAACACCATTCGTTCAAATTTTTTTATATATCTATATATATATAGATATATATATATGTGTGTGTGTGTGTGTGTGTCCATCCGCACGATAACTTGAGTAATTTTTGTCCGATTTTGATAAAATTTGGATTGAAGGTGTAAGGCGGGATAAACTCGAACGAGTTCGCAAACCAGCATGATCGGACTATGGGAACGGGGGTTTACGGGGGGTTTTATGGGGTAAAAATAGGTTTTTCCCATTTTTGACCCAAAAAAAATAAAATTTTGCAAAATCTTTTCAAACCATTTTGTAGAGCTTAAAAAACAAATAATTTAGTATATTGAAGTGTTACTATGCGCCTAATGGTTACGGAGAAAATTCCAAAAAAATGTAAATTTTAAATTCCCATGTTATTCTTATGGAGAACGAGTAAACCGTTGTAGTTTGCTTGTTTATGAACATATTTTGATCAAATTTGGAAAATGTTTTTATTTCTGACTAACTATTAACATTTTACAAAAAAAAGTTTTACCCTCCCTGATGCAGCAAACCTAAGTACCTGTTAAAATAATTCTATTTATATAGGAAATAAATGTTAAATTTTTAAATAGACATTTTAGTGTAAATCCAATCAGACATATGGAAATTCGCTTAGTCTGCAGGTTTGCTGCGGCGGGGGTATTATTTATATAGATTTCATCCCTGGAAAAGATGAGACGGTTGTTTTTTTTCAAATCATCAGTCATCAGGGTCATTTATGCTACTTTCAGTTATATTTTTAATTGAGTGATTTTTTTTAGGATTATCTTTAGACCGATTCAAAAATCTTTACTTATTTTAAACATGTTTGTAAATCATAAGTTACAATAATACAACGATTAGTTATAACTCTTTAGTCAATATTCTTACATTATACTGTATCTCGATGGCATAGAGATACTAGGTTCAAAATAGAACCGTTACTTATAGAGGTTCAATTACACAACCAAAGACTCTTACAATTCTTTGTATATTATGAAATCAATTTTGTTTACCATCCTGATGTTTTCTAAATAACTAAATTGTTTTACCAACGAAATTGAATGTATTTGTTCATTAACAGTATTACATTATTTATAAATTTTTCTTTGACTCCGAGGATATAACTCCACTATCAATTTTATGGCTTTTAGATAGCCGATGATTAAAGCCAAAACTAAATAGAGACATTTTTGATTGGAGCACTCACAAAGCAAAATTGGAAATTAATTGCCTGCACATATCGTGCTATTGATAAAAACTTAACAAAATAATAAAAATAATATCCAACGTGAAAAAAACAGGATGTTGATTGTTGAAG